GCTAGTCTGTGTGTACTTCCCTTTGTGCGTCTGTGCCTGTGTGTACCTGTGCCGGGCTGTGTATTTGTGTCTGTGTGTATCTGTGCCTGTATTTGTTAGTCTGTGTCTGTTCCTCTGCCTTCATTTGCTAATCTGTGTCTGTTTGTGCGCCTGTCTGTGTACATTTGTGTCTGTGTACCTGTACTTGTATTTACTAATCTGTGTCTGTATACGCGCCTGCCTGTGTGCGTTTGTGTCTGTGTGTATCTGTGCCTGACTGTGTACCTATGTCTGCGTGTGTGTGTGTCCGTGTATACATGGTCCTTGACTGGCAGCGCTCATTAAGGAGGAAGATTTTTTCTTTTTTGTTCCAACTTTTTTATATAGCCAAGATGTCTTATTTATATTATCCCTTTTATTCTTTTGTTTTATTTGTCTTTCTTATTTTGTATTATGAAGTGTGTGTGTGCGTGTGTTTGTTTGTTTGTCTTTGTGTATGTGTGTGTGTTTGTGCACATACGTATTTGTTTGTTTGTCTTTGTTTGCTTGTGTGTGTGTGTGTGTGTGTGTGTGTGTGTGTGTGTGTGTGTGTGTGTGTGTGTGTGTGTGTGTGTGTGTGTGTGTGTGTGTGTGTGTGTGTGTGTGTGTTGCATATATGTGTACCCCTACCTCAGTACATATAAACATACATCCACATTTCCATAATCAAATCTCAAATTTCCTTGAACTCTTTCCTGTTTTTTTTTTCCTTCTAGACGATAATGAATATATAATTACTGAACCTTTCCCTGCCCGAGAGAAGGAGAGGAAGATCGAGCCTTGTTACAGCCAGCTATAATCACCTTTGCAGATTATCTCCGTAATTGCTGCTCGTAAACCAGAGTTTCTGAAATTCATTTCGGAAATGAAAAATGACACTTACTTTTAGGAGGAATGGGACAATAAGTTAGGATTAAGAGCAAATCAAGGGGCATACACAGACGTACATATGGACACACACACACGCGCGCACACGTATATGTACACACACGAGCGCGCGCGCACATACACACACACATACGCAGACACAGAAACACGCACACACACACACGCACACACACACACACACACGCGCGCGCACGCACACACACAGGCACACACACACACACACACACACACACACACACACACACACACACACACACACACACACACACACACAAACAGGTCCTTATCACATAGTAATGAAATACTATTAGTAATGTTAGAAGGAATGCATGGATTTGTGTGTACGTAAATGTGTGTGTGTTTGTTATGATATCTACACACGAAAATACATAGACAAGCACACGAACAAAATGCAAATACAACATGTTCTGCAGATACTTGCAATTCACAACTCATACTTACAATAAATCCCATATATAGACATCACGATACATTTTTTTTACGTCGAGAAAGGGGATAAATCAATCGAACCATATTTACAAACCTTTATTTAACACTGTGTACTGATTTTTCTACCAGAATTCCAGTCTTTTTTTTGTCAATGATACATAAATTCAGAAGGAAAACAGATTCTCTACAAGTATCAGTGGCAATCGAATACTTCTGTCTATAAAATACAGAAACATACACGGTATATTCTCAAGTAAAACATACCTTCACAATGACCAATGACAGACAGGTATGAGGGAACGAGAGAACGAGACACCCCATCGCTATTATGTTTCTCAATCTGGCTTATTTGTTTTAACTTTCCTCAACAGCAACGCATAACATGAGGTTGTTTTTTTTCGGGGGAAGCGATCGTGGAACAACAGTCCATAAGATTTTGTCTTTCCTTTTTTGCTTTACGATAACGTTGATTATTGTTTATGGGACGTGATTTCTGTAAATGATTTGTTTGCAAAAAATAATACTCGTTTGTTTGAGTTACTGTGATATGTCGTGATGTTGTTTGATAACCTTAGTGACTATCGTACAATGTTTTTAAAAAAAATAAAAAAATACTTTCGTTGATTGTAGTTATTATGATATGTCATCGTATTGTTCTTAAATTTAATTTTCTTGATTATCGTATAATATTTAGCAGTAAAACTAGCTGATTATAGTTATTGAGGATATGCTATCATATTACTATCATTTCCGTGTTCTTGATTAGCATATACCATTCTCTTAAAAAAAAATAGACTCGTTGAATTATATCTGTTTATTATATAATTTTATTATATAATTTCCACGGTCTGACTTCACTCACTGATTGTAAGTTGATTGACATACCTTATTAATTCTGAGCTTTTAATCTCCTAATCGACAATTTCATGAAGAGCCAATTTTGGATATAAGATACTCTAAAGTTTCATTATCTTCTATATCTGATTTCCGCATTCCTAATTAATCAGCTTATACCTTTTTCATCAAAAAAAAAGAAAAAGAAAAATGACTGATTATCCGTGTTTTTTTTTAGTGGAAGTTATTCATGTTGCGGAGAACAAAGTCGCGCACGAACGATGTTATTTACGGGATAATCCTTCTCGTGTCTCGGTTTAAAGAACTTAGAATTTTGTAATAATAAAGTTTATTTTCTTCTTCTGATCTCTGTATCATTTAGGGAACAGCTTTTCATTTTCATAGAAACAAACAAACAAATTCGTCATGCTATGAATCAAATACACTTTTGTTTGTGTATATATATATATATAGGTATATATATATATATATATATATATATATATATATATATATATATATATATATATATATATATATATAAATATATATATATATATATATAGGTATATATATATGTGTGTATATATATATATATATATATATATATATATATATATATATATATATATATATATATATATATATATATATATATATATGTATATGTATATATATATATATATATTGAAAATACTTCTAATCAAATAATCGTCAACTTTTGCAAATCAAATTCACAATTCTGCCGCGTTATCCTCATATTTCACACCATCAATTTCCCTATCAATATCACTGCTGTATCACGTCCCGTTATCAAGATCACTATCCCCCTCCAATTATTCTTCCTGTTCTATCCTTCATCTTTCTCCTTGTCTCTTCCTCTCACTGCCTTCGGACAACCCCCTCCCCCCCCTCCGCTCTCTCCTTCACCCTCGTCCTAATCCTACAAGACTTCAGAAGGGGAAAGCTTCACATTATATGGAAGGTGAACCATCTACATTATGAGACATATATGGGTATTTACGAAAATATATAGCTTTAATCTCATTGAATGAATAAATATCATACACTTCTGTCACGTTCACGAAGAGAAAAGACGAAAGGCATGTCTAACTTCAGGGCGCTTGGCACTGCACCTATAATAGACCTTTTTCCCTTAATTTTTTTTCAATTTTCTCTCTCTCTCTCTTTTTTTCCCTAATGTATGTTTCATTTGCCTTATTTCTTTCTCTCACACACAAACACTCGGAGATCTGTGACACTTTTTTCATTTTTTTTCTCAATTAATTACAGTATCTCCTTAGTTTTTGTTCGTTTTATTTTTTAGTAGTCAAGGTACACCGTATTTCTAACGTTAGACTGGACGCGGCCAAAACGTTTTAGGGTTCACTAATAAACGTCTATATAGTGGGTATTCTAGCTCCTTCGGTTTCGTGGTTTCCTGGCGTCGAAGTGAAACCTTGCCAGGCGTATGGGAATCACAAATCTTTTCCCTTTTTTTCGTGTCGTTTCTGGTTGACATACTGAACACCAGTCGATGTTTGCTCCTCTGCACATGTATATATATATCTATAAGTCTTTGATATATCTTTATTCCACATCGTCTTGCACTACACAATACATGTTGATGAGCACTGTTCTGTTCATATCGGAAAAATAATTATACATATATACATATACGTATACATATACATATACATATATATACATACACACATATGTATATATTGGTGTGTGTGTGTGTGTGTGTGTGTGTGTGTGTGTGTATGTGTGTGTGTGTGTGTGTGTGTGTGTGTGTGTGTGTGTGTGTGTGTGTGTGTGTGTGTGTGTGTGTGTGTGCGTGTGTGTGTGTGTGTGTGTGTGTGTGTGTGTGTGTGTGTGTGTGTGTGTGTGTGTGTGTGTGTGTGTGTGTGTGTGTGTGTGTGTATGTGTGTGTGTGTGTGTATGTGTGTGTGTGTGTGTGTGTGTGTGTGTGTGTGCGTGAGTGAGAGAGTGAGTGAGTGTGTGTGGTCTGTGTGTATGTGTAAATACATGTATATATATGTATATATACATACATATATATCTATTTATTTATCAATGTATATAAACATACATTTGTATATAATTTCACGCTTAATGATTAATTTCACGACACAAAACAACTGTCCCCCTGGGAATAACACACATTTTCTTTGATTATCTTACTGAGCAAAGTCTGCCTGTTTGCCAATATAGCGATATGTCTTTACGTTGATATGTAGACTCACTCCACTGGTATATTTTATTACGAAATACAAAATCAACAATGTTTGATTATATGTGTGTCTAAGAATACATATACATACATATGTATGTGTATACACATACATACATACATCATATATATATACATAAATACATATATATATATATATATATATATATATATATATATATATATATATATATACATATATATATATATATATATATATATATATATATATATATATATATATATATATATATATATATATATATATACGCAATCATTTACATGATACACACATCTATACATCCACATATTCATATGTATGTGTGTACACGTACACACGCTTACACACGCACATGGCATCGAGAGGACCTCCGGCGGCCGCAGGCGGCGCCGCCCGAGCCCTGCCGCGCGTGCGCCCGCCCCGGACTGCGTCGCGGCCGCGCCTTCCTTGCGGCCGCGGGGAATGAGGTATGCCGAGGGACGCGGCCGACGGGGGGTTCGAGGCGAGGGCGCGGCGCCCCCCGCTTCCGGCGGCGGCGGCGGCGCTGGCGAAGGGCGTCGCTCGGCTGCCACTTCATCTGACGGCGAGGACGTAGGAGGCGGCGAGCAGGGGCAGCGCCGCCAGGGGGGCTGCGGCGGCCGCGCTGCTCGAGTCTATCCGCTGCACCGCCGCCGTCTTGTCGCCTGCGGGAGAAAGGTGCGGCGTCAGGATGCGGCTAAGGAGGGAACCGGCTCACCCCCTCCCCCCCACCTCGCATTCATCACGGGTTAGTTATCACTTCCCCTTCTTTCCCAAACTTCGGTTTTCCTCCCTTTTCTCCCTCCCTCCTTCCTATCTTCCCAACGTACCTTCCTTCTCTCCCCCTCTCTCTCCCTTCTTTATTCATCTCCCTTTCCTATCTATCTTCCTTCTCACCCTCCCCCTCTCCCTTCCCTATTTACCTTCCTTCTCTGCCTCTCTCCCTCTCCCTTTCCTACTTACCTTCCTTCTCTCCCTACCTATCCTTGTTCACTCATTCCATTATATTACTATTATTTTGATTAATTACCCTTCCTTCCTCCCTTCATCCCTTTCCCTCCCTTTTCTCCCTCACCTTCCCTTCAAATTTTCCCTCTCTCCCTCTTCTTCCTTCCCTCATTCTCTCCTTCTCTCCCTCCCTTTTTTCCCTCCTTCTCTTCCCCCTAACCACCTTTCTCTCCCTCCTCCCTTTCCTACCTCCCTCCCACCTTCCTTCTTTTCCCCTCCTAACCCTCCCTCTTCTCCCTCTTATCCTCCCTCTTTCCTCTTTCCCCAACCCCCCTTTCCCTCCCTCCTTCTCTTCCCTTCCTCCTCCTTCCTCCCTTTCCCCCGAACTTCCTCCCCCCAACACCCCCTTCCCTCCCTCCCTCCCACTCCTCCCCTCCCCTCCCTCCCTTCCTATCTTACCCCCCACTCTTCCCTTCCCTCCCTCCCTCCCTTCCTATCTAACCCCCCACTCCACCCTTCCCTCCCTCCCTCCCTCTCCCTCCCTTCCTCCCTCTCCCTCCCTCTCCCTCCCTTCCTCCCTCTCCCTCCCTCTCCCTCACTCTCACCTTCCGTAACGAACACCATCATCGAGGCAGCCAGCGTGTTGGGCGCACTGCACGTGTAGTTCCCAGAGTGGTCGTCCCTCTCTCCCTCCCCTTCCCTCCCTCCCTTCCCAGCCCTCCCTTCCCTTACCACCCCTCCCTTCCCTTACCACCCCTCCCCTTCCCTCCCTCTCCCTCTCCCTCCCTCACTCTCACCTTCCGTAACGAACACCATCGTCGAGGAAGCCAGTTGGGCGCACTGCACGTGTAGTTCCCAGAGTGGTCGTCCCTCTCTCCCTCCCTCCCTTCCCTCCCTTCCTCCCTCTCTCCCTCCCTCCCTTCCCTCCCTTCCTCCCTCCCACTCCTCCCCTCCCTTTCCCCCTCCCTCTCCCTCACTCTCACCTTCCGTAACGAACACCATCGTCGAGGCAGCCAGCGTGTTGGGCGCACTGCACGTGTAGTTCCCAGAGTGGTCGTCTCTTGCCCTCCGCACCTCCAGCTTACTGACGGCGGCGCTGGGTTCGCGGCTCGTCTCTATGGTCACCTCCGGCTGGTCAGGAAGGTAGTTCAGGAGGCGTCCGTTGTGGTACCAGAAGACGTACTGCGGCGGAGTGGGAACCTGGCGGGGGGAGAGAGAGGGAGGAGGGATGGGTGAGATGAGGGGGTGAGGTGGGGGGGGGGAAGGGTAAGAGGGATAGATAAATGGATGGATAGATAGAGGGAGGGAGAGGGAGAGTGAGAGAGAGAGAGAGAGAGAGAGAGAGAGAGAGAGAGAGAGAGAGAGAGAGAGAGAGAGAGAGAGAGAGAGAGAGAGAGAGAGAGAGAGAGAGAGAGAGAGAGAGAGAGAGAGAGAACAGAAGAGAAGAGAACAGAAGAGAAGAGAACAGAACAGAAGAGAACAGAACAGAAGAGAACAGAAGAGAAGAGAAAAGAAGAGAGAGAGAGAGAGAGAGAGAGAGAGAGAGAGAGA